CGGCTGTCCGGTCACACGACCCACAAGTCACCCACTCGAAACTCATCGATACTTTGGCTACGTGGCAAGCTCATTGGTCTCCATTTTCCATTTTCTCCGCTTTCCCGACCAGCGCTGGTATTTGTGTAATGGCACTGCAAGGGCTCTCGGACCCTCGGACTCTCGGACACACGGACACATGGTCGCACGGACACGCGGACAGACAAACGGATATATATCTGTACATATAAATTTGGAGCGGCGACTCGCATGAGTTTAGTTTATATTTATGAGCATTATAGTGCGGATATATCGGAGCGCCGAGTCGATAGCTGGTAACTCTTTCGCGGGCCTTGTGGCAAAATGTTTGGATGGGCAGCCCTAAAAATGTTTGGATGGGCAGTGCAGCGACTTCACGGAAGGAATTTCCCCTTCTTCCCCCGATAAGACATATTCAATTAAAGAGCTCGACAACCTGTACAATCCGCCCGATACGAAAGCCAAACAAAACCCGGAGAAGTGTACTCCGGCGGGAGGCAGTGTTTGGCCAGAGAGCAGCTGAGAATTTTTTACCTGGCGGCAATCAGCGGGCAATTATGCGATAAGTCCTTATCAGCCTATAGATAACAACGCCACTGGAGAGCGGAGAGAGAGCGGAGCATTATGAAATCGGAATAGAAATTTTCGGAACATTAGTTGTCCACCGTTGGCGTCTACGTGCGGTTGTCTCCCTTCGAGGTTTCTTCCATTCGACCTACTCGCGAGTGCAGTCCGGAGTGATTGGGTGATTGATTCGTCCGATAAAAAGACTTTATATCTGTCCCAGATACGGACACTGTGGCATATGGTGTTGTGATAAAAAGTGAACGCTATAGTTGGAGGTATTTGATCAAATATGTAAGTAACTCCTGGGTTAATGTGAAAATAAATGATTTAGCGAGGCCTCCAACTAAATGTGAATTAGTTGGACTCCAACTACGGCGCATTTAGTGGCACTTTGTGGTTATAGAACGGCCATACACTGATTGCAGGGCCTAAGCTTTTAATCGCGAAGACTACAAGCTTTGCGGAACTCTTTCTGTCGTAATGCCAATTCCCTGTGATGCGTCACACTTCCTCGATAATGCAGACACTATCTGGAGTTTCTCTGCAACTAGCAGATAAAAACCTGTTCATCTCAGTCTGAAGTCAGTTGCTGGATATGCGAACGAACATGAACCATATTGTAGTCGAAACTTGGGGCAAATAGGGGAAAAGCAAGCCACAATAAAGCAAACAAGCGACATATAAAAATCTCGAGATAAGATAACGAAACTGCTCAACAAGTGAATAAGGGAGTGTGTGTGTTCCGACCGTAGTTGGATTTTGTGGATACAGTGCAACAGCCAGGGACAAGTGACATCTCTCCGAAATGTCAACTGTCAGAAAGTGGAGTAGCAGCCTGGCAAGACGGTGACAGAGAAAGCTCGGAGAAACGGGTCACACTGTCCACCAGGCCAAGAGCCAAGACCATGGCCCAGATTCTCCGCCCACATTTGCATACAATGGACAGCGTTTGATCATCCCGGGGTGGCATAGGTTCACGGGGTGGCAGGCCCGGGTAGGGGCTGGGAACGACCCCATCGCCCAGGCGGCTGGGCGAAATATTGTCACTAAAGTTAATTAAAAAACAGCCGGGGGCCATGTATCCACACATCCCCCAAAAAACCCACCATTCACCCACACAGGCGAGAGGATAGGAATCTGGTTTAATAAAAATACCAAAGGGTGCCAGTGACGGCGGGCTGGGGCTGGGGGTCTTCGGGGGTTGAGCCCAGTCTTTGGGGGTAGCTCTCTGTCAACGCTGCGTGGGCAAACAAAGGCAAATAAATAGAAAAGAGATACTCAATAATCAATAGATAAATAAAATTACAAGGTGACAGCAGCTGTATGTTTTTCCCATCCCAAGATCCCCTGGTCCCTGGCCCCGTTGTCCCCACTAGTGGCAAACTGTCTCTGTGTGAGAGCTTTAAGGCTGCTGGAGCCCCATCAGCAGAGGGGAAAGCAACAGTGGCGATAACTGCTCATAATGCTGCAGTCGGAGAGCCAAGTCATGCAGTTTACAAATAAAACAGTAAATACTCTTTCTCGAACATCACAAAATTCCTTAGATATTAAACTTATCATATATTTTCCCAGAAAACTAAAAAGGAAAAACAAGGACAGAGTCACCATATCCTTTTAACTTTTTGTCTTTCTTTCTTTATTTTTTTTTATTCGAATCCTTTTATTACAATGGCTAGTACCGGGTATTTATATAACTATAAGTTCCGTCTGTAATCTACAAACTTTACTCAGTTAAAATGCATTGTTTTAATTTATAAATCAATTTTAAAGGCTTGAATTGCTATAAATTTGATTTTAAAATATAGTTTCGATAAATAACACATCTCTGAAACAGACCAGTGTTTAAAACAATAAGCCCTTCGATACCCTGACTTGGATGCGAGGATTCTGCTGTCGTCGCCATCGTTTGATGTCACTAGGATAAGCGCGTGGCAAGGATCCACAGCATCCAAGGAAGACGTGGCAGGAGAAGTGGCAGGAGCTGGAGCATGCCGCTGGCAAGCCGATGACTGCCATCCTAACACGCTTGTTACTGCTCCGGGGTAAAATTCACGGGGTGCAGGGGAGGGGGATGCAACAACCTCCACGCTACGACGACGACAACGATACGGATGCGGATGATGGCGTCGCCATTTGGCAGAGCCCGGCCAAGAGAAGCGGACGGAGCCGAAAAATAAAATAAAACACCAGAGCGCGTTGCAAAAATAAATAAACGAGTACCGTAAATAGAAAAGCGCAAAAATATGCAAGCGTCGGAATTTATTAAAAAATAATAGAAAAACCGGTGAAATCGTGGCGATTATCTGGAGACCAAGTGAAATTTATCTAGTGTTCGGCTGGCCAGGACATTTGTGAAACTTTGAGGCAAAAAGCTATTGTTCTTGAGTGATACCTTCGAGATTAAGCTTCTTTAAAAACGGATTTCTGTACTGCTGTAGGCTTACATTTCTTTCTCTTTTCAATTTCAATTTTCCTCCAATTTCCAATTCCGGGTCCTAACTCAGGACCAATCTTAAAAGATTTTAAAGAAAAACGGATAGTTGGACAAAAATTGTATAGATTTTCAGTTAGCGGCTTAAGTCTAGAGTCTAGATATACAAATTTAAATCGTTTTTTAAAAATCATTAAAATAAGCCTATTTTTACTCGCTATTTTGTTATAATTGGTTTATTTATATTTAATAAGTATCACAAGTTAATAAATTTGTTTTTCATTGAGAAAATAGACTAGAAACTAAAACGGCTACTTTGAAATTAAAAAAAGTTAATTTTGGGAATTATTCTTTAAAATAAACTAATAAACTATGGGAAAAAGTGTTGATTTTTTAGTAAAGACGATCCTTTCCTTCTTTGGGAAAGGAAATGAGAAAAGTTAACAACGAGTGTTATATACTTTTATGACTAATAATTATCTTTAATTTTTAATAAATTTAACATGTGTCACTCACGACATAATCATACAAATGTGAGGTTTTAAATATATTCCAATTTTATAAATTCCAGGCTGCATATATTCAAATCATGTATTTAATACTTCTGTTTATTAAATGTTGAGCTTATAATTCTCACATAATAAATATTTCATTAAAAGCCTAAAATGTTACACATCCATAGATTTAATGCAGCAAACAGGATACACTTTAAAGCCCTGGCTCCAAAGCCAGCTATGCAAAGCACTTGAATTCCGACTGCCCGCTGCAATCGATGTATGTGCAGGCGCGTTAATTAAGGCGCCCATGCCTGTGGCCAGTCAAGTGCGACAACAAATAATTTGATTTCAATTTAACTAATTAGCTGGAGCCTTCAACATTATGCGGCCAACTAGCTATGTGAGCACTCGAAATGCTTATCTGTTTAGCGGCAGCTATGTATGTGAATTTTCAGATACACTGAGACAAGATAGGGTCATGTCTCAAAAATAAATAGATTAATCTGCTCAAACTATATGGGATTGTTGTTTGTCTTTACACTGAACACAACATTTTGAATAATTTGTTAGTAACCAGCTACACTGCTTCTTTAAGTGGACACATGTAACCAGCAGACTGTGCATGTAGTGGTGCGTATCTGTGTTTGTATCAAAGCAGGCACTTCAATGTAGACAGTCGAGTGGGCCCAAGTACTGCGGTCAGTCAGTCTGTCAGTCAATATGCGCTTTTCATTGAAAAGCTTAGCTATGCACTACTCTCTTCAGGAGGAGGGGATCAACTAAAGGAGGCATGGCAGCCATTTTGTCTGCGGTATCCAGAGTGGGTTCTTAAAAAATTAATTAATAATTGCATGGCCATTCATATTACACTTAATATGGTGGAACATCATATAGTAGGCAAAAAAAAAATCAGGTTCTTAAAATACCTAAATCCTCCGATTTGACTGCATTTTTTACATCCAATTTTCTTTCGGATACAATAATAGCTATCTAATTAATTTGTAACTAATTAACAAAAAATGTATGATTTTAGTGTCGCCTTAAAAATAAGAAATAAATTTGAACTGCATTTGTAGAATAGGATTGAACACCTTCAGACGGACGGACATGGCTATATCAATGTTGTTATCTGTTGAGGCTGTTACTGGGTTGGAAATGATTTTTTATCTGGGTTGGCATAAACACAACCAACTGTATTGAACTTTACAGTATTAACTTTACAAATTGTGATCTATTAAACTTAATATTATATATTAAATTTATCTGAAGAACGTTCTAAACATATATGTTAGCAAATCCTTCAGTCATTTCTTTTCTCCTCCTTTTTTCCACTCTTTAAACGAAAATGTAATTACTTATTGACATAAGCAGGCTCCTATTTAGTTTATCCACTTATGTATGTATGTGAATTCAACTTACATTACACACTGGACACAATAGTACATGCCTTTTAATCAGACAACACTTTGTTTTTAATTTAATTACAGTTGAAACACAAGCTCAACCCACTGCTTGAGTGTGGAGCATAAAAAACCGCCCGAGGCTAATTGTCAGAGTGAAAATAAAAACTGTGATAAACAAAGAAAAAGGCAAGCAAAAGCAAACAAAACGGATAAAAGACACTCCTGCCGGGAGCTAAATAATACACAATTTTAATAAAACTAAAACCAGGGGAAAATTAAAAAGCAAGCGACGCCAAATGCGGCACTAAAAGTAATTAGCGTCAGTGGACAGCGACAGCAGAGGAGTTGCAAATAGAAGCAAGAGGCAAAAGTGTAATAAATGATGTTGCAATCCTTGAATTTGCAGGCGGATACACTGAGCGGCATCTCATCTGCAACAGAAACAGCAACAGCAACGGTAGCAGCGACACCAACAGCATTGGCAGCAACATCAGAGCAAGCACGCGACACGGCAGCAGAAGAAGCAACAACAATGCTTACATCGGCACCTGTTGCCCATGTTGCTAATGGCAGCAGCAGCAGTACGAGCGAAAGCAACAACAATAGCCTCTACAGTAACAGCAATTTAAATAGCAGCAACAATAGCCAGCAACAGCAACAGATACAGTCGGTCAAGTATTTAGAGAATCTAACGAGCTCGGGAGCTAGTTCAGGTGCCATTGCAGCGCCAACAACTTTCACAGGTGCTGCAAAAAGTTTTCATCCCTATTTGCGGCCCACTGGCACCGGCAACAACACCAGCAGCAGCATCGGTAATAGCACCAACAGTGCGGCGGCATTATCTACAACAACGGCAACACCGGGGGCAAAAATGTCCTCGACATTGTTTGAAACACTTTTGCACAACCAAATAAATTCCAGCCCGACGGCCCCGACCGGGCCCCCACTGCCAGCAGCAACACCAGTCATTGCAACAACAGCAACACCCAGCACCGCAGCAACCGCAACAGCAGCAACTGCAGCAGCAGCAGCATCGGCGGTAATGCCGCTGAATTCCAGCATTAATTCCAGAACTTCATTAGGCGAGCCGGGTGGCATTGTTGCCGTTGCCTCAAATCGGTGAGTTCAATTTTTTCGCATAGGCTTCTGGCTAATGCGGGCTAATTAGAATCAAATGATTTGTAGTTGCTGCAGCTAGGTTTTAAGGGAAAACTGCGAAATTCCTACGAAATTAGAGCATGGATTTAAGTTGTTGTACCTACATATTTGGTGATGGATGATTAGGTTTCCGTTTAGTAGTTGTATTATTTTTTCCATGAAAGATTTTATGCTTCAAATAAGTAAAACCACGTTGGTTACTTGGTACCACTATTTATTAAGGATGAACTTTATAGATACGATGGATAAAATTATCTGGTTAAATTAGTGGGTTACAATAGGAGAGATGATATGAACGATAGAGAAGCTTATTGTAGAGAGAGATGTTTTAATGTGCCAGAATGGTGCACTGAATTATGTAGCTTAACTCGCCAAAACCCTAGAAAGATACTTAACTTCCACCCACTGAATAGGCTTCAAGGATCTTGAACTCAGAAATATTATGTTCGCCCCTTAAATTGGTCAACACATCGACAGTATAGATTCCATACAATACCTTTAATTTTATCATCTTTTCAAGATCCTCTAGCGGCATTTTCATCTCTTCCCACTTTGCATATTACCTTGCCTTTATTGAGCATTTCAATTTCCTATTCCTTTCCTCGATGGCACTGCCACCCACCCACGACTCGGGCTATCACATTTCAAATGGTTATTTCTCGGACGTGCGCCACATTTTCTATTTGCGGGCTTCCTCTGCCCGGAAATTATAAAAATTTACACCGAATGCTGGATCACTCGGCGGCCCACTTCTCAGACTGATTTAATTAAAATAAGTGACAATATGCGTTGGCCCAAAAGGCAATAGGAAGGCGGAAATTTCCAGGAGCCGGGACGTGAGCTGAGGGCTGGGGAGAGTTCACGGTTACCATCAAGTGGCTAATGATAATTGGCATTGCATTAAGGTTATTAATTGGCAAGAGCCATCAAGGCCACAATTTTCACATAGCCAGTCATCAGCGATAATGGCGGATGATTATTGACAGGACATTGTAATTATAATATTACAGCATCTTCATAATGGCCAAGTAGTCGCTGGCAGAGCGGGTGGCCGGGTGGGACCCGGAATGAAAAAACTCCACTATCATCTATCTGTCTTTTTCTGCCATCGTGCTCGGCCATTAAATAATAAAGCAAGAATTATTAAATTTATGTCGGGTCATTTTTATACGGCCTGGATGCTCAAGCTTCCCGGACTGGGCTTCATCCGCCGCTGCCCAAGCTTTCTGTTCCAGTTCTTGTAAATAAATATTTTTTGCTTCCTCTATCTTTGAGCCGTTTGTTTTTGTTGCGACAGGCGCGGCATAACAAACTGCCATCATAAATTAAGTGCGACGTCACTGCAATGTCGCCACAGCAAACCGTGGTATAAAGGGTCCTGAAAATTTAATTGTATTCACATTAAAAAAAAAAGAATATAGAGGGATTCGATTTAAAGAGTTTAGAGTAAATTGCTTTGTCAGGTCAAGCTACAAAGGTAATCCAAAAGTCACAGTTAAATATTTGAGTAAATATTAATAACATGACTATGGAAGAATTTAGAAAGTCTTTAGCCTTGGCTTTCATTCTGTATACTTATGAATGTTTTTTTTACCACCACATTTTTATTTTTTGGTATACATTTGTTTTATATTACATTTTGGCAATTAACTTAGTATTTTGTCTTATTATTGTCTTATTATCCTTTATTCACTAAATAATAAAAGGTATTATAGCTAAAACTATAGTTAATATTTGTAAATATATTTAAATAAATACTATGGTAGCCCACAGTGTGCTGATATAGTATTCACTTCGGTGACTCTTCAAGCTGTTGATTCGCGCATTGAGTGGCTGTAGCAACATCGTCATCACCGGTCACCGTCATCGCCTTGAAAAGCACCTGCTGTCCCCCTGTGACCGAATTCCCATTTCCCCATTTCTCCACGCCTTCTCGCCTTCCGACGCGCCTCAGTTCCCGCCGCAGGCGATTTTCTCATTAAGCCTGGTCGCATTTAAATGAAACTGAATTATTAATGCACAGGCGCAGCCCCGGGAGAGTGTCGAGGAGAAGCCCGGGAGAATGGGATAAAGAGAGATAGTTGGCTGGGAAACTGGGGGCTGTGGACTCTCTCCCCGAAGGATTCGCGCCCGGCTGAAATAATTGCCTCGGCGGCTCCAGGGGCTCCACACCTGTCGCTGCTCTCTGATTCTGTGAATTTCCATATCTCCCTCGGTCTGCCACCTTTGTAATTTTATTTGCTTTTATTTTTGGCGCCTCTTATTTTCTTATTGGCCCGAATATGTGTGGCAACTTACTAAGGAAATTGGCCAAACCAACAAGTAAGCGCTTGCCGTTTAGAGATTTATGCTCGGGGCGCAGGACTCCCTCCCCCATTGTTGCTGCTCCTGGAGGCAGGCTTGAATTTATCACCTTGACATAGGCAATTTGGCTCGTCCTCGTTCCGGCTCTAATAGATTAATTTCGTTTTGTCCTTCGATGTCCCGCGGCTGTCGCGCGTTCACTGGATTTTCACAGGCGTTTCACTCGGCGCGGCACCCAGTTCATAACCGGATAAGGACAAGGGTGGCGGGACCCAGTTTGGGCGGGGAAAGATGAATGGAGCTGCAGCGCTGAAATTATTTTCGCAGGAAATTGGAAAATAAAGAAATTTAAAAGTAAATTGAAAGTAATTTCCTAAATGGCATCGTTTCAGATGACTTCGTGAGATAGCTCATGCCAATAATGTACCAAATCATGGGAGATTGTGACGCCCTCCTCCGTAACTTCAACCCCCTGTTTTAGAAAATTAATTTTATTAAGATACCCTTACTTTTTAGTCATCAGATGTATAAATCCTTTAATGCCTATGTGTTTTGACAATTAGAAACACAAATCTGTGGCATTGGTATCATCCTGGCAATGAACTAACCAACTTACCCGCTGAGCCAATTAAGTGCGGAAATTTATTGGCCCAACTGCTTGACAACTTGTGCTTACGGCAAATCAGCTCTGGCTCTGTAACCGAGCCCCGAGCAAATTGACAGCCAACCAAAAGTCAATTTCGTACACCATCAGAGCACCCAATAAAGCCCCATTAGGAGCAACAGCAACAGCAACGGCATCAGCAAAGTCTGCAATCGGAAAAGGAAAACTTTTTGGGCATCACCCGAAAAAAGCAGAGCACAAAAACCAACTGAAAGTGACCTCAAAGTGGAGCGTTCAATGCGTTGCCTTTCAGTCACTCAAGGACCCTCCGCCCGCAGTCCTTTCATTCCGTCCTGGCGGCTAGAGACACACAGAACGGTCAGCCACGAAACAAGAGTAAAAACGTTCACAACTTTTTAGATTAGATTAGTTTGCTAATAACAATTAGTATTTGTATTTTATGTTGTTATCCAACAAGCGTTCCTAGCTGGTTGTTGCCTTACTCCGGGTCTCCTCTTTTTTTATGGTCATTAGCAAATGAAGTTAGGGCCAGAACAATATGCTGGCCAGAAAGTTCAATGGAGAAGTAAATATCCGCCAGGGATTCCAAATGACTCTATTTGCGCACTAGATAAATGGGGTCTTCAATTGGAAATTGGCAATTGTGAGGTCCTTATCCACGGTCTTGGTATAGTTAAATATTAAATTATATTAAATAAGATTACAGATATCAGAAATTTGATATAAAAGATGATCATTTTTAGCGAAAAGATATCATTCGCATTAGTATCTTAGGGAAACCTTGCTTATTTTGTCAAAGATGCTAGCCCGGCACTGCTTCAAAATTATCATTGACATCTAAGGGATAACCCTTTTAGACCAAATGGGAAAAACGCTGGATGTGGTGGTCGTGGGGTCGGCAGCCATCGAGTACATTACGTAAGGCCAGTCCTATTCTAATCCCGTAACTGTAAGTCTGGTACCATCCACAGACATGTAGCCGAACTCCCCAGGCCCGGAGAGGTGGTTTCTGGCATGCATATGGAAACTGCTTTTGGCGGAAAAGGAGCCAATCAGAGCATAGCAGCGGCAAGGCTGGGAGCCACCACCACATTCCTGGGCAAAGTGGGTGCCGATGAGTCCGGCAAGCAGTACAAGAGCTACCTGAGCGATCAGAATATCGATACTGGGCACGTGGAACTGGTCCAGAACACACCCACTGGCATGACCGAGGTGGCCCTGGCTGAGGAGGGGGAGTTCTACAGGATCAATGTGCCGGGGGCCAACACATCCATGACCGGCAAGGACGTCTCCAAGCACAAGAAGATCTTGAACAAGTCCAGCGTACTGCTCTGTCAGCTGGAGTTGGACATGAAGACCACCGCCTGCGCTCTGCGCCAGTTCAAAGGTGGTGTCTCCATCCTCCACATGTCTCCCATGCAGAGGGACATTCCAACCGAGCTGATCACCTTGCCCACCATTTTGGTAATGAACCAGGACGTGGCAGCCACGCTGGCCAACATGGAGGAACTTCAGACTCCGCTTCAGGCCAAGCAGGCTTGCGAAACCCTGATTGATGGCGGGGCAAACAGCGTGATCATCCTCATGCAGGACAACAGTGCCGTCCACATGTCCAAAAGCGACAAGGCGATGTGCACCCGAACCCCCGCCGGCGATGTGCGCCACATGGCCGACTCCACCGGGTCGGACGACGCCTTCATGGGCAGCCTTGCGTACCACATCGCCAGATTCCCGAAGCTGTCCCGCGAGCACCACATCAGTGCGGCCAACGCCTGTTCCGCCTACTCCATGGGCATCCGGGGCACCCAGCCCAGTTTTCCGGGCCGGAACTACGCTCAGGACAACCTTGGCAACGTCACTCCCACCTTCACTGTGATCGACGAAAACTCCGAATTTGGGGCCGAGGGGGAGAAAAAGGAATCAAATGAACAACAGAAACCGGAAGAAGCGGCACCACCCCCACCTCCTCCACCAGAGATTCCAGCGCCGGAAGAAGCTCCGCCCGAAGCGAAGGCCATAACGGAGGAGGAGGGAGGGGAGGGAGAGAAACGCAGCACTGTCGCAGCACAATAAATCCTAGTCTAAGGCTCGATGCATTCATTTAAACTCATACATTTCACAAATAACAAGAAAAAGCCCTGTGTAACATCTTGTGGGAGTTAAGTTGTTGAGTTATGGGAAGTGCTAGCAATGATGAGTTCCTTCTAGATTCTAGAATAAGTTCTGAAAAAGAGTCTCAACCTTTTGCACCAATCTTTCGATTGCATGTCTGCTAAAAATAAAGTCGACAAATATAGAGTTTGTTACTGAGAGATTACTTTACGTAAAAACATATAGAGAAGAGACTGACCCTGGGGTAATCCTAAGCCAGACCATATGTATAAGGAGGTATACGAATTTTTCTTCTTATTTCCATACACTCTTCCAACGCTTTCATTTTTGAATACGTGAATCACGGAGATTATAAGATACTTCTATGGTACTAATGCAGATAAAGTTTGTGTCAACAAATGTTCAAATGTGTGCGGGGAAAAGACGAGTTCCGGATATCATGTACCGGGTATAGAAGTCATTTTCAATCTAATGTAACTTGTGTACTACTGTTACGATCTAATACTAATATTCTTGTCATATACCTACATACGTATACATGTTACTATTCTTAAAAGGTCTAAGATGTCTCTTCAATGTGCTGCAATCTTGCGAACAGAATTATTGTTTACCTTTGAAGATATCGAAACTTTCCAATAGATAAAATTATTTTCCTTAAACAAAATTGCATATTATATTTAGATTTTATCGCTTTTTTCATGATCCTTATTCTTATTCTAGAAAAAAAATTCATAATTCATAACATTCCCAAATCGTTCTAGCATCTCCATCAAAACCGAACTGGAACTGGTGGACTCAAGCAGTCCGGAATCGATCAAGGACCAGCCGGATGCGGACAACATCAAGATGTTCGTCGGCCAGATACCCAAGACCTGGGACGAGACGAGACTCCGGCACATGTTCGAGCAGTTCGGACCCGTGCACACTCTGAACGTCCTTCGCGACAAGGTCACATCAATTAGTCGCGGTGAGTCAGTCAGGCTAAGATACACATAATATCCCGATACAACATAGCACCGGCAGCATACAAATGAGGGAATTACCCGGCTGTTCAATGAAATTTTATAATGTCCATTAATTCGGAAGTCCCCGGGCAGTGGGGTTGAACACCGAAGTAATATGATTATGCTGATGGCTAACCCATCAACATTAAAACTTGCTCACAGCTCGGCACAGGTGTTGCAGGGTAGAAGGAAAGTTTCAGCCGGGTAATTGGCCATAATTGTGCGTGTATGAGCGGGAAAAAGTTGAGCTCATACAGGACTCGCAGGACATGGGCAAGTTGCTCTGGTTAATTTTGGTTGTATTAGAATAATATGCGCATTTGCTTGCAAACTTTTCTCGAAAAGCAGAAAGGTAAACTCCATTATGCATATTTATGGTCTGGAGGGGTTGGACCCGCAGTCCGGACAACGGGTCTCGGCCATAAATGTGCGTACTGAGGTAAGGATGTGGGTTAATCCTCCGAGCAAGAAGCTCGAGCACGACTAACTCATTGGAGAGAGATTATAATTTAATCTTCGTAATGGATAGATGGTCGAAGGTGTTATTGTGAGCTACCATGTCCGGACAATTCAATAAATAATAGGATAAAAATAAATGGCAATATGTTCGTTATATGTTCGTCACTATAACCCTTCGGTTAGAGGAAAAATAATAAAGGGTCTTGCCCTTTCAAGGTTAGGTTAATCTCGCAATTTTTGACCCTAAAGAGTATAATGTATTGTAATTAAAACTATTTAAGAGTTTAGCAGCTTGCCGCCGTAGTCACCCGTGAAAATTGTCCTTTCATTTTGCCCGCATGGCTTGCATGAAGTGCTCGTATGTGTCCAGAAATCTGCATGCCAACGATTTGTATCTAATTATCCCTAAGCTTGGTCGACTTTGTCGAGATGCATGCTGGAAATCCCCTACTGTAAGCAGGAGAAAGCAAACAAATGATCATAACTTTTGTAATGGTCTTAGTCAATAATATTGCATTATATAACTTATATATACAGTACAGTAAATATATGCCGTTCGTTTTGTTCCATATGTTTTGTGCAATTGTCTATCGATTTGTTTGATTTGTATTCGATTTGTATTCGATTGTTTCATTTTCGTTTGCAGGGTGCTGTTTTGTCACCTACTATACACGAAAGGCTGCCCTGCGCGCCCAGGATGCGTTGCACAACATCAAGACCTTGGACGGGGTAAGTACCGCCCACCATTCCACCACACCACCTTGCCACCTTACCACCCACCCACACACACACCAACACCCATGCAACACAACCGTCGTGTCATATTTGTAGCTTTGAGTTTTGCCCGTTTTCCTGTTTTCCATGTCCATGTCTGCGTGTCTGCCTTTCTTTTCATATTATATATATCCTTTATATATAGAAGCATATATGTGTGTGTTCTGGAGAGTGTGTGTGTATGCGTTTCTTCGTAGCTCACCTATACATATGCAAGTGCAGTTACTGTTTGTGCGCCTTTTTAAATAATACAGCTTGAGAAAGTCAACCGCTTGCGTCCCGATCGATCGATGACATACTTTCGATGCATGGTTCTTCGAGTCCTGCGACGGGGTGGGAGAGGTAGAGGACTCGAAACAGGTGCAAAAAGGGCGAGGGGGTGTTGGTATATGGCCAACACAAAATGTAATCATCAGTCAATTAGTAGATTCAATTATGAGGACAATCTCGTTGTTAACGTATTAAATGAAGCGTTCCACGCACAAGCAAACACACCAAGATGGCAGGGAGGACGGATCAGTTTTGGGCGGAAGCTCAAGGGGTTGGTATATCCACATAGTAGTCATTACCCTGCACAGTGGAAAAATATGCTTCTACTTTAGGATAATACTAGTGTTAGTACGGAATTAATACAAGGAAACACATTTAGTCCTTATATGAAAAACGAAGCTTAGAACAATCCTTCAATGCTTTCTTCAATTCTTATATTTGAGACTTAATATTATTCTCTGATTAAATTCCATTATTTAAAATATTAAATGAATGAAATATTTTATATATACCGATATACCGATTTTATGAGACTATTTCCAATGAATGGCACATCTTAAAAAAAGGTTTTAATTGAAAGTTACTAAAAAGTTCATCAAATGGTATATTTCTAAAAAAAATTACCATCAAATCTTGAACCACTGTTAGCACTCGACCCATGATTTACATATTCAAATCGTTAATGGAAAATCCATATAGGAACGTTCGGCTGGCACTAAAACAAAGACTCCGCTCCCGCTTCAGCCCTCAGCCACACGCAATTTAGTGGGAGGAAGGAGAAACAGGAGCCTGGCCAAATGGCGCCACGTGTGTAATTGTCAAAATAATGACCACATGCCCCATGTGTTGGTGTGTGCTTGAATGGAAGGTGGAACTTTGTTTGTATAAGTAAGTGCCTGGATGTCGGGCAATGCGTGGGTGTATGGGCATGTCAGGCAGAGTAAGTGTGTCTGTGGGTGGGCATGTCTGATCCTTTAATGCATTTGCCAGGCTGCCCTCAGCAGAAAGGACATCGATGTCCGCATCGGCATCGACGTCGTCGTCAACTCCGAAGCTACTTAATTTACCTGAAATAATCGATAGGTAAACAGACGTTAAAACGTCGGCATTTCCACACACTCCCACACACCACCACCCCACTCCCACACACAATAGGAAGAGGCTCAGCTTGTCAACGGCCACAATAAATATTTTGTTTTGAACCGGCCACTTCTCTCTCTGATTTCCCCTCACTTCTCCGATTGCTAAGTGTCCTGCCCAGGCGATGTCCTTTTCCTGTTCCGCCTCCGAACTTTTATTTTCGGGCACGTGTGAACAGATACAGTTGCAGTCATACAGGCGGACTTCGACAGCATTTAATTGGAAAGCCTGAAAGTATGCCATGAATGTTTTATGAGCCAATTTTGGAACTCGAAGGCTGCCCGTTTATTAAAAATGCATTCCGATTGTTTTCCATTTATTCAGTTTGTGGAAGTTGATTCGAGAAAATAATTTGTTTCAGCTGTCGAAGAAATACTTAATTATATTTTAGCTAAATTAAACAACTCCCCCCCTTAACTGGTAATCTTGTTAGATGCATTTAAAAAAATATTTCTTTTTCTAAAGAATCCTCCAAGTGGACAGTAAGAGGATTTATTTTATAGTGTTTCCCATTTGGTAACAAAGAGTTCCGCTATTTTTGTTTCAAACCCCAAAACCAACCACAATATTTGGACAGCTAATTGACAATCAGGGAAGAAAAAATATACTATATTTGACTTTGTACAAATCGCATTAAATTGAAAAGGGTAGCCGGGGCAATTGACCAACACCAGTATAAGCATAGAAGCACGGATGTATCCACACTTGCAGGACTCGCAGGACTCTTGGCCAGACAGACAGCTAAATGAAACGCCAGAAACGACCAATTCAAAGCCAGGCGGCCATTTTACTCATTCAACTGTCAATTTTGAATAATAGACCAGCAAAATGGCGCAACAATGTCGGGGGCTGGACAAGGACGAAGGTCCTAGTACTGGCGGAGCAGAGGCAGTGACATTTTCTCGTAATTTGTGCAGAAGCCTTTTGACTTTTCCCAGTACAGTATGGTCGGGTTTTTGTGAAAAAGGATGCGGCCGAACCTCAACCCCAACCCATGACCATTTTATTTCAATTTGCTGAACAGGATTCAGTCACTCAGTCAGTCACTTGGTCCTTCACCTCTCACCGCCAGTGCCAATAGAGAAAGTTTCTCGAAATGAAAGCTCCATTTTCTAATATCGTTGTAAGTATTATTATTATCGTTTGCGCTACTCGAACGTTTTGAATGAAAAGTTAATTGAAATCAAAGTAATGGTCCCTGCCTGACAGTGCTGAGGACCCAGGTCCCAGGACCTTATCAGCTTGCCAAGCAAATGTAAAATAAATGGGAAATTTGTTAAAAGCATCGCATTGAATTGCATTTTTCAAGTGCTAATGGTGGCGTTAATGAAATGGGGTCGCCCGCTCCTTTTTGTTACGCCCACTTCCACTTATCAGGATCCCTTTTCCAGGATATTTCATTAGTGCTTTGCATTGGGACTGGCCAAAGTGAAATCTAATGAAATCGAAATACAATTGTGAACTTCAATAAACTAATGTAGGCATTGTTCTAGTTGGACAAGGTTGATCTTAGGGGGATAACGGTTAAGGGAAATAGTAAAACATTAGTTAAATGGTGGCCTTAAGAAGATCTCAAATAATGATACTTCCTTGTCGTTTCTATTTTCGAAACTAAAACGTGGAAACTTTCATACCCTACTTTTAGCATCTTTAATGCCATACAAAGCAATTTAATTTTGGGAGCAAAGTGAGGGAACTTTGCAATCGAAGACCCATCCGCACTTATTACTCGATTTTTTATGGCATTTTTCCATTTTTCTTTCTCTTTGACAGATGCACCATCCCATTCAGATGAAGCCGGCGGACAGTGAGAACCGAAACGGTAAGTTCCTTTTAGTCTTTAGTCATTGTCTCGGGCCATATTTGCCCTGTCTTCCCATCCTTTCCTGCCAAGTTTATCCTTCTTTTTTGAAAGTGTACGGCTGTGTGTGGGGGAACGAAGCCTTTTGGGCTTAATCAGAAACTTGCATGAAGGACATGGAGCTGAGTAGCATGTAGTGTCTGTATTTGATTACACAAAACAACGCCGGCAAAAAGAACTCGAATAGAGAATATGGCAATGAAAATGAATAATGCCCAAACTGACAGGCAAAAAAAAGGAGCAGGATGGGGGCGAGTGGGGCGACTAACTGGCTACAGTCCTGCATTAGTTGGATTGTGTGAGACCAATAAATCGATTAGAAAGTGTGCTGAGCGGGCAGAGAAGCCTTCCGAATCAAGAGGGCAGAAAAAGTGTCTGTGTCTGGAACAAAAGTGATGAAATGTTGCATGTACAAGGGATATACATACTTGTACATATGTATAATAGACCGATATCTAAGTTTGTAGCGAATCTGTGTAGAAAATGTATATGATTTATAAATGTATGCATGAAGTCGCTGATGTGCTGCATATCCTTTCAATGCATATCGGCACTATCCTTTCCACACCTATCCCTTACACGAACAACAATAACGCCAAATAAAGTGGCAATCTCAGCGATTCTTGCAGCTCCTTTGTTCCGGAATTCCAATCGGAAAATCGTTAGTACGCCTTCTGACTATCGCAGAAAGTGGAGCCGATGGCCCCGACTCTCCTGCCCCCACCTATGCAATGCGTTTCCGTTTCCGCTTCAGACTGCGAGTGCAAGTGTGTGGCGACTCTGGTATTCCTTGGTGTTTTTCGAATTGCCGGAGTGCAGCGGAAATGTTTAGGGCATCGCTCGCATTCACCTCGGTGTCCATCGATTGCAGGCCCTCTTTGTGTCTTCAGTGGCCTTCCTCTGCTACGGTTCTCCCCCGGGAACTTACATAATTGCTTTCCTTCTGTTTCGATTCTGTTCAAGTGGCTCAAGGGCCAGATCCGTTTAAAAAAACCAATGATCCGAAAGCCATTTGGATGTATTTTTGTTCGGCCCGAGATTACGAGAGTGGACGCGTGACAAAAATAAATCACAAAATTAAAAATACGTAGCACCGAAATTTTATGGTAAATTAACGAAAAATTGGCACCCATCTGAGCAGGAAAGCACTCTGGTTCTCTCGCCTCGTAAACCAAAATATTAACAAATAACGCCGCTCGGAATTAAGATAAATGGCCGAGAGTGCGTTAGCAACAAAAAGTGTCTAAACATTCAGCGAAGCCTTTGCTTCTCATTGTCACTTGCAATCACATCGAATGGACATTCGGTGAGAGGTTTTAATTAATGGAAAACATATTATTAGTGGCATACCCTATTCAACAAATTCTATAACAATTCAGGGCTTAAAATAACTTGCAATTACAAGATATGATTTACTCTCCACAAAAATGTCCCTAAATCATTTTTCAAGCAAGGGTATTGCGGCGGAATACATGCCAAACATTTTCAAATGCCACACAAATATTGCAAATGCAACAAGTGCAGGTCGGTTCTAAGTAGTCTGTATATGCATAGAAATATTATGCACCCTTTCCCTCGGTGCCTCGCCCTGCCACTGTATCTTTCTCCGAATCTATCCCCATCTCACTCGCTTGTGCGTGTTGTGCGAAATGTTTTGGCGACACTTGACAAAATGCCAGAAATTCTAAATACTTTTAGCTGCCGTTTGTCGTCGTAGTTGCTGCTGTCCGCCTTTTTAGCCTGCCCTTTTGGCTTGGCTCAGAATGCCTGTTGGTTTTGTTGTTCTGGCTGCCGTCCCTGTCCGACCGCCATCGACTGCTGTCTCCGTCCTTGTCCTCCGATTTGGCCAGAAAGCCAAATTCACAATCAACTTAAATTAATGAGATGCCAGCCGAGTCCAAGTAGATGCATCCAACAGTTTATTTATGAATACGATTTTGTTTATATGCCTGTTGGCTTTCGAATTAATGGGTTTATTAATTTGCAAATTGTCAGGTGCTGACAGTGTCAAATCAATTTGGAAAAGCGCAGCTTATGGTCGGCAGAGGTCGAAATAAATATTCAAAATTTCATTTTGCTTTGGGATTTAACAAACTGAATGTGATTTTTAAACTGTACAAGTATAGTAAGCTCCAATGCACAACCTCGCACAATGAAAATGCTTCTGCGGCGTCAACAGCTTAAGTGGCTTCTGGTTCGGAGGCGGTATCTTTAGATCTGAGAATGCATTTTCATGTTTGCAATTTCAGTTGGCAGATGTGTGCGACCCGGTATCTGCAAGATACTCGACGCTGGGCGCATTAGCACACTTTTCGATTCAATTATAAAGCGTTCTGCGGGCCCCGCCTCGCGAAAACAAAGCGCTTTTTTATGTTGCGCTCGCCGGCTTCGCAAGTCCGTTCCTCAATTGATTTTCGTGCGCCCTGCTCGACGTGATCTCCCGTTTAGATACATCTAGTAGATACAGATACACGTACTCAACGCCCGACCAGTGTCTGCGCTGGCTCGTTTTTTCTAGCTCTGATGTTAATTGCTCGCGTCTCGAAACCTTTTAGGTCGTTGCGATCTTGTCAAGTGGGCACACAACTTTGACATGGCATTAAATTTGTTAGAAAAGTTGTTTTTGTTGCCTCAAGACGTGTGATGTTGTCGGACTGAGTACTGGGAGGAGGAGTCGGTTGGCGAGACTTGGGAAAGCGCTTCATAGCTTTATGAGGTATAGAGTATTACAGGATTAGTGTTTTAAGCCTGAGTGGAACTACATAGAGAGAAAATAACCCTATGAGTAAAGTTGTGAACAAATAGAGTTACTTTACCTCTTTGCAAAAATATATTTTATATTTTACAAAATAAGTTTTCAAACATAAACGCTTAAAAAAGCCATAAAAAGTATTAATTCCCTTTATAATCGCCCCAGCTTAATCCAAAGCCAGTTGTTTAACGACAATTAATTAAGTTTGAAAAAAGTGTGCAAACGCTCGTTTCAATCAGCAAGTATCCGCTCCATTGGCCGGAAAACCGCTGAGTCAACCCGGCACTAATCCGAGCGACAGAGACAGAGACACTCCCAGAGAGAGAGTGCGAGCGAGTCACTTCTGTCAACTGACTCTGCTATGACTCTGCCGCCAAGCAAACATAAATAAACAAAACGGCAAAAGGCAGGCAACGAGCGTACCTAATTGGCCTTAATGTGAGCGAGCCACAAGTGTCCGAACAGCTGTTCCGAGAGAGGGAGAGCACGGCTGGCAGAGAGCGATCGGCCGGCAAGCGCGGCATTGCCAGCCGCGAAAGTATCTCGAAGTGCAGCGCAATTGATCCGAGGGGCCGCTGGGGGCTTTTGGGGTTCGGTTTTCTGTTTGCAGGCCGCACTCAGTTCAATTCAGTCAGCCGGTTGATCGCTGTGATCGGCGATCGTTAGCTCGCTGCGGTCTTTGCTTTCGGTTCGGTGCCCAGTGGATCCCTTGCCAATAGTCGCGCGCAAGTATCCGACAGATACGTGCTGTAGTTGTCGCCAGTTGTCATTCATTCGCGGCACGTTCGCGGGTATCTCCGTATCTTCGCCGCTGCTTGTGGTTGGAACGGTTGGTTCGTTGGTCAACTCGAATCAACTTCCCGGCGCAGACACACACAGTAATGAAATTCTTTAAATTAAATCTACGCCAGCCGCAGTGCCTAATTGAAAAACGAAACGCTCGCCCAGTGTATCCCACAGACACTGATAACCAATTGAAAAAGCCAATTGATTGAAATGTTCCCCAGCGACTGGATATGTATAAGCTAGTGCTCAATGACGGTTCATTAAGTAATTTCCGATTGCCCACTGTGCAGTGAGCCAATAAGATATTTGTAATAATGGCCATAAATCCGAGACAGAAGTGTAGCTCAAAAATTGTGTCAAGCCAGGAGCTTTGTGCATCTGTTGGCAAAACGTCCACTCATCTGCTCGTTAAAAAAGTTTCAGCCACATTAGAGAACTTTCACATAATTCAAAATTTACCAGACATTAAGTTAATAGGTTTGGCAAATGGGCTTTAGCCAAAAAATGAACAAAAACACCGGGGCAAGCTAGCATACGTCGCGCATATTTCGCATTCGATTCCGACGACGACCAAAATAAATGCCATTAAACATTAATTTCCTATGCCAGAATAGCTTGGCCGACTGGCCGATTGGGTTTGTCATCCGCTTGCCAATTGACAAAAGTAAACACAGAAATACTTATGGCAACAAAAACACGCGATGAAATCGAAAACAAACACATTATGCAAAAAGCCAGGCGAATAATTAAGTGCACAAGGAGCAAAAAACGATAGAAAGAGCAGAGCCAGCCGAGCCAGCCGAGTAAATAAATTATAATCTTTGCGGTTGCAGCTTGAGTCATTCTCGGCCGGCTTCTCCCAGATTCTCTCGAAAGTTTCCCAACTAATCTCTTGCCGCGAACCGCGAACCGGCTGCGGCCCAACCAGTTTTGAATTCAATTTTATTATTATTGTTTAGTTTTTTCGCCCAGAAATTAGCTCTTTCAGAGGCGGCTCTGTTTATGTAATTCTGGTCAGCTGTTTGGTGTTTTGGTTTGAAGTAGCTCCGGGCCGCCGATTCTATCTGAGAGGTTGCGTGTGTATCGACCGAGTATTCGAAGAATGCCACTCCAATTGGAGAAATTTCGTTAGTTGCGTGTTGAAAGTGCGTTGCATTCTGCGCTGCAATTGCCATTTCGAGCTGCAGTGGCAGTTGCACTCGCAGCTGCAGTTTGTCATGTGTGGCACAAGACATTTCTTACGCTTGACGAGCGGTAATTGAAATATGTGAATAATTGCTAGATTTGTGAGCCAAAACGGCTACGTCGTGGAGGAGATGCATGGGAAAGCCAAGATGATGTATTGCGGAGGAAAGTATCTCCGCTTGGAGTTGGTTTATGGGTGTGGGGAAATTATTGCCATCAATGTGGCTGTAGAGTCTTC